ACATTTGATTACGTAACAATGTGTACTTCGGTACTGGAAATTGGTTGTGAAATAAGATGAAATATGACGTCACATAAGGACTTTCCATTATTTGATTAGTTAACGTGAGTAGCATTGACATGATATGAACTTAGTTTACTCCTTCGTATATAGAAAAAAATAGAGAATTTTCTTATGCTTGGGCCACACTATCGGGAAATGCCGTTAATCATCGCGATAATGGACGTTAATCGTAGGTGTAATTTGATCACTAAGCGAATGATTTAAGGTATATTTTTCATTGTTTAATATTATCAATTATCGCGATAATTATTGGCATTTCACGTTAGTGTGGCCCAAGCATTAGTGTGTGTAATTTACTACCGTATTAACTACACAAAAATCTAACACATTAAACATTGGCATGTTGTTAACCCATGAATTATTTACTCTTGAAGAAAACCTTGCCTTTTGTGATCATGCATAATGTATTTGGGAGAATAGATGTTTTCTATGCACTCAATTCGAGGCTATCGAAGAGTGGTATTTCCCACAGCGCACCCGTTCGGATTGCACCCATTTATTCCGCCTAGCGATTTATCATGAACCTTACACATCTTTAAGTATTTCATATAACTGTGTCAACTTATAACTATGTATTAGTTTATTTGAAAGAGAGAATTCAACAGCGAAAGGCTTTTATTAGTTTCAATTATATTTACATCTGAATAGAGGAGTAGGTGGAATGTTAATGGTCTATTTATAAAGCGAAATGTCAAAATAATAAAGAGAAGTTCTAGGTGTTAATTCAGCAGAAATAGATATACTGTAGGCAAACTGGTTTAGGTATGTAATGTACGCGTATTACGTATTAATTCAAAATACAGACTCTATAGAACTTAGGTCTGTAGCCAATGTTATTAGTAATAATACTTAGATCTGTCTGCGAATGTCTTACAGTACTTAGTAACTTAGTTAGTTAACTGAAAGGCTTACAATACTTAGTTTCAATTGTTTGAGCTTGTTAACACGCCATTAAAAACCATTTTTCGATTTAATATTAGATCTCGTCAGACGGAAAATTAAAACTAAAAAAACTATTTTAGATACTTTCGTTTTTGTCTTTAATTTTTTTTCAAAGACTTCTAGAAAGGAGACCTTTCTGAAGTTCTTGCATTGTTTAACTCCCACTAAAGGTTCTTCTTTGTAATAGGTATGTCAAGATTTTATTCTTATTCTAAGGTACAGCGTAAACATAATATTCGTTGTAAAATTATTTTTTTAATTTAAAATTATTTTTTACCTGCGCTTAAACACATATAAAGATTACGGCGTTAGTTGCATAGAGTGCAAGATAGTTGTTTTTTTTTTGCTATCCGATAGCCGGACATTTAATATCTTCTTGGTAAATACATGTATACTAAGTTGGCATTCATATAGAAGCATTTTCATAAAAAGGTCATGTTTACCATGGAGCAAAAAATAGGATACTCACTGTCTAGAGGTCGTAAAATGTATCTGCTTAGGTTATCTTCGGTTAAAGTAATTCAATAAGCATCTAAGAATCAAAGCAAAACTTGGAGCATTCACTTACGCCTACACATGACGTCTTTGTGACGTTACAAAGTCATCAGAATACAGGGGCGTAATACAATAGAAATACATAGGTAGAAATTATTTCTTTCATGTGATAATCATAAACAGAAAACAATTCTACATATTAGTGTCGTCAAGTCATTAGTATCGATACAACATAGTAATTAGTATTTACGAAAGGGACATGGGGCAATTCCTTACGGATGGGCCCTGCGAGAATTATCCTCATGTCAGAAGTCCTGAAAAAAGGAGTTGCTAATCAACCGGTGTTACATTTGATGCCCTTATTTTTTGGCTATTATCTTTTAACTCTATAGGTTTTGCGAGGCTACTGGTGGTTTGGTGTGTAGGCATTTGTGTGGAAGTTAAAGAAAATTGTTGGAAAATCCGTAATTTTCCGTATCATACAAGGAGTATCGAACAAAATATTGCAGTACTTGTTTATAACTGACCTCACAATAGAAACGAAGTCGTGAGTGGTGGATGGAGAGCTATTTGCATTTGTAAGAGATGACTAAAGGTCTGCTCTTTGTTGGACAATTGTGTGGTGATAAATAGTCACTACATATCACTAGATCTTAGTACTACACGCGGTTTCTTGCTAAATAAACGCAGTTTGTGTTCCTAACGGTTTTTGTGACAAACCTTTTAGACCATTGACCATTACGGCGGTCAAAATTGTAAATTATAAACTTGAATTATATTTTCATCAGTAGTTGTTTCTTGTGTGTATCATTCTTATTCTATTTAAAGTTATAAATTCTAAGTGTTCATTGTTGTTGTAGTCGTCACTTGTTTTACCTAAAAAAGAAGTAAAAATACAATTTTGAAATCACACTCCGTCAAATAATAAGCGAACATTGATCAAGTTCAAAAAGGGAAAGCAATGAGACTGGTTCAAGGACAAATCAAGACAAGAGAGATTAAGGTAAGCGGAGAGAGATGAAGTACATGTTCATCAATTAAACATTACAAGGTGTAAGTACAGGTAAAGCGATGGCAATCGTTCCGAGGCTCTAATTATCTAGAGTTCGTTTGCATATCTGTCAACGTCGACTGAAGGGATATAAGGTAACCAAATTCAAAATACGTTTCAACTTTCCCTCTTCGGTTACATAATCGGAAATTCATTTACCTTCTAAATTAGGCAGTTTTTTTTGTCGTTGTCTAGATTGAGATTTTGAGAATTGTCTTTATTGGATATCCTATACCTATTGAGATTTAGGATATTATTATAATGTTAAAATCGACATAGTTTTAAACTCGACTACTTATAATAGACTACTTATTTTAATCATTTCCTTGAAAAGTTTTTTTATCGATATTCGATATTTCTTTATAAGTATAACGTCACCTGCGTATGCCTTTAATCCGCGACGGGTTAAGCAGAGGTGCATATTTCCGAAATAATATTCACTTTTAGCCAGCTACGTTACGAATAGTATGTTAGCCTGTCATTACCCGCCTTACAAAATATTCAACAGTTTTTCCGAAATGTCAAATACTACTATTTTCTATGATGTTATTAGGGACGTAGTGACAGTATAAATTGATTACGTTACAATAGCATACTTACTTTTCTCGTATTATATGAAAAATAAGAAAGAGCGTTTTTCTGGTTGTATAAGTTAAAATATTTTTTTTCTGAGAAAACCAACCAATTTCAAAATCGAAAAATGTAAAAAAAGTACCTACACTAATAAAATCATGGGACTACTAGCTGGTTAGTTCCGTTTGTAGTCAACGTACTAATGTGCACTACAATAATGTAAACAGAATATTGACTTCTTTACTAAAAAACTGAAAAAGTTAACTGGAAAATAAATTCTCATCATCATCATCATCATCAGCCTATAAGTGCCCACTGCTGAGCAAAGGCCTCTAATAAATTCTAATACCTATTTAAATAAATTATGTTACTTATCAAACTTTTGAAACCGCGCGAGAATAGCTAGTTTTCAATAAATTAGCTATTTCTCACGACATATCTATCAAAAAATGTTAAGTACTTATTTTTGTGGCCATTCGTGCTAAAGAATTTAACGTATTTTTTTGTGTATGAGTGTTGTTTACTTTTGAGATATATATAGACGAATGACGCCTAAAACGGAATTGCCTTTTTCAGCGTTGAGTATCTTGAAAACAGAAATAAATTCTCATGGGATCACTTAGTTGTCCGTCTGTTGTCTGCTTATTTTTAAAGCCTTTTATAATAATAATCTGAAATCTCCTAAAATGAAGACAACATTAAATTCCTACAAACCTTGTATCACGACATTCGGCAATCAGTAATTGTAATGTTTCGTCGAAAAAGTTTTGTGGGAAAAAGGTTCGATCCGAAATCTATGAAAAGGAAATTATTTAAATAAGTAGGTAGTATCGTCAGATAGTAGTAGAATAATATATAAGTAATGTAAAAAAGATTGAACACTACGCAGTTCGTTCAGAGAAACGAAATATTGTCTTTAAGTTAGTACGTATCTATCTATTAGATCATTTCATAATTTCTTTTAAGGAAATAAATAGCTGTGACCCACTGTTCGACGCGCGTAGTTATGTTCACCGGAGATAGTGCTGCTTCTCAAAAGTAAAAGATTTTTTTAAACTGTCAACGAGTTTCAGTACCTATTCTTTTTTTTTAATGTAGGTAATAAGTATGCAAACGAGCAGACGGATTACCTGATGGTAAGCAATCAACGCCTCCCATGGACACCCGCAACGGAGGAGTTACGAGTGCGCTGCCGACCTTTTAGGGATTAGGGATTTGGAGATTTAGGGATTGGGGAAGGGTCCGGGAAGGGGAAGTATTGAGCCTCCGGTAACCTCACTCACACGGCGAAACACAACGCTGTGGTTGTTTCACGCCGGTTTTCTGTGAGGCTGTGGTATCACTCCGGTCGAGCCGACCCATTCGTGCCGAAGCATGGCTCTCCCACACTTTGTAAATCAATTTAATCAAACAACTTTTATGAACCTATTTATCTAAATATTTCTAAATCACAAAACCAGTAAAAATAAGATTGCACCTTCGTAATAATATAAATAAATTAATCAGTTTAATTGAAGAAGACATCCGTTCCTGAACATTGACCTCCTCCAAAGAAAATAACGGCGGTCGTTTGAAAGTTCAAACAAGTATGTTCTTATTTGAATTTCGAATACACTGTAACTTACACACAAATAAATAAATAAAAAAAAAATCTATTCAAAAAAGAAGCATACTTAATTTAAAAAAAGAATTGTTAAATTTGATGTACTTTTATATTCGTAAATGATAAAATAACTAATAATTTTAATAATATTTTCATTAATTTCCAATCATAGAGCATTTTGGAAATGGAAAACAGAAATTTTGTTGTTATCCGCGTGTTTCAGCGCATCTGTGGAAGGGCTGCGCTTTGATTCCCATTTCTCATTCAGTGTTCGTGTAGCCCGGCCCCTGTTCAGTGCTTTCGTCTGTCGACGCGACGCGCGGCCGACTCACAGAGCAATTCGAAAACTTCCGCAAATATAACGCTGTGGTGTTAGTAAAAGTTTTTTGTGAAACAGTTTAATTCAGTTATTATTATAAATATTTTAATTGGTTAAGAAAGTTGCATGGAGTGAATGAAGTTTATTGTAGTTTTGTGTTTTTACTTTCAGGAGGTAAGCCATTTTTGTGTCGTATTCTATATTTTTTTCACAACTTTGTTAGTAATATTAGTGATTTGAATATTTAATTAATTTGTGATTTTTAATTTTAAAACAAGTACTTAAATAAATCTTATTATCAAATTAAGTTAAATTATTGGGACTGTTCATAGGTACTTCATAATAAATTTGTTTTTTTAATCGGAACTTTGAAAAGATTGGAGTGATATACAATATTAATATATTTATATTTGTTACTTTACATTTTTTTTTGTTTTTTGTATAAAGATATAACCTCTATGGTATCTTTGAACTGCGTAATTGGTACCAACATGTTTTTTTTAACTTGTGATGCTGCAGTTGCTGAATATTATTTATTGTAGTCAACTCAAAGATACCTATTAGAATGCGTATTAAAAATGGACGTGAATGTATTTTTATTTTAGTTTTCATTTAAATTTTTATAAAAATTACAACATTTTAATCAAAAGTGGTAGCGAACAAATTAAATAAAGAGTTTTTAATAATAAATAATAATCAGAATATTGTAATAGACACGTTTAAACACAAAAACGAAACACTAAAATTTTTCTATGCCATCGGAAAATCCTTAGTACCGTAGCCCGGAATTTTATTTTATTTCATTTTAGGAATTTGTCCGTTTAAATTCTTGACTCATAAGTTCTTCGTACTTTTAGGCGATATACGATAAACAAAGACTATGATTTTAAATGTGTTAAAATTAGTACCTACCAACTGCAGACAACAAATACAGCAATATTTTAAGGTCTAAAATATTAGATTTATCTGGAATCAAATTAGGTTGACGCGCGACGACTTTTTGTCAATCCACTTTTCACTGCCAATATGTCGATTAGGTACATTTTTTTGACCTGCTACGGGTTTTTATATAGATACCCATACTTTGTTTCTGCTGACACGAGTACATATACAAAAAATCTTTTCTGACACTGATTTAAGGGTTTGACTCTTATACCATGATTAATATAAAAGTCTCTCTTTATGCAAAGTTGCAAGGTTTTAAACAACTAACATGGTCTACCCGTGCCCTTACGTATTTCGTTATGTGGTCCTTTGATAAATATGCATAGGTATACCTACTAAAGGTATGGTTACCTGTGAATGTTTGTAATTGAACCACATTTTCACCATGTCTCTTAGGATGGCGAAGGATTGGAAACCCCTTTGGGGTTGCGTTTATGAGCAAATACGCATTCCGTTACCTTTGGGTCAGTTTGCCACAAAACGTAGATTACAATATGGCCTCTCCGATTATTCTAGCAATGTTTAGTAAAAGTGACTTTTAAGACATTAACACACACTAACTTAATTTTTTTCTGAAAAAAGAAAGTGTAGAGTGTTTCCAGTTCATAGAAGACGCAGACGAAGAGCAGATGATAAAATTTATATAAAAACATTTTAAAGATCTTACCTAAAAGTTTACCTTTAATCTAAGTTTCTCAAAAATTTAAATTAAATGCGTAAACCTATAGGTAAGTACATATGGTTTTTGAAATGAGACACTTTGTAACGTTTATTCAAGCTTGCTCAAATTTAAATGAAGTCAAAAACACGTGTGTCGTGATACCTATCCATCTATGTATTTCGCAGAGATCATAAAGCCAAAACCTAATACTCGTGATACGAGTATAATATTGAATATTTGACAAATCTCGTGTCACGTGCACGAATGCACAAATCATTTTTTATCTGTGACTAAGTTTATCGTTGAACGCTTTTCGAATTTTATTTTTTAGTCTGTTAATCTTTCATAAGTCCGTAAAGACTTAAAATCTCCTTGTTTTAAGTTGACTGTAGTTGAAGTTTGAAGAGCTTGTAATTAAGAAGGAAACAATAATAGCAGTTAACGCTATATTGGTTCAAGGAGTTGGTAAATTGCTGACATGATGTGGAAGTTGCATTCGATAGTTCTATATTTAGTTAATCTATCTAATCTAATCTATCTAATCTATAACTTAGTTAATCTTCAAGTTTGGAATTATTGTATTCTTATTTTGAAATTTTTGTTAATATTTAAAAAAAAGATCAAAGACATGTCGTTTCAATTTTCGTGCCAGTACTTTAACGTAGTAAATAACTATTTGTTTATTAGAAAACTAAATTTGCAGTGAGTGTAATTTTTCTAATACCTAAACATTACTCTTTTTGTGTAAACTATAAAATGTTTAATAAAAAGTTCTGCTAAACTGCGTGATCATTGTTTAATGTGTTTTCTTAAAACTTTCCTTTCAAATGAAAAACAACAAATTGCATCAACTTTTTTAGTTTGTAAAATTCATAAATATTTTTCTCAGTTCAAGCATTAGTAAGTCTCGTATGTCGTTTTCAATCTAATGTAGAATCAAATTTATAGCCACTTAAAAGTTATGTATGGAAATTAAAAGATATTTAGATCAGATATTTGGAACAGTAGTATTTGCATCTAGAAAATTTATAAGGTCTTCAATCACTTGCATTTAATGGTATGGCTGAAAAATCGCTCAAGATCATGCAAATGCGGAGGCAAATATTCGCGCCATATTCCGATGGATGCGGATTGCGATGGTGTGCGCTATACACACACCATATGTAGTTATTTCAACGTTTGAACAAATACAAAAATGATTTCAATTGTATGTTTTTTTAAGAAGATAATAGAATTGATGACTTATTCTTCTCTATACTAATCTCCATTTTGGGACGAGAACCTAGCTTTAATAACGGACAGACTGACAGAAACCCGATTTGGACATTTCAAAAGTGTTTATTTAATTGAAATAAATGTTTCGACTTTATAACTTCATGCTTTTTATCCCCGACGGGGTGAATATATTGGTAATAAGTAGCGCATATACAATGTATTTTTTTATCTTTTTAAGCTTTGACGTACTATGGAATATGTACGTCAAAATGGTGCATGGGGCGGCCTTTCTGCCATAATTATGGCATTTTCTGCCTAAGGTTTAAAGTACAAAAATCAACGTAAATAAGGTAAGGGGAATAGGATTGAGTGTCATAACAGACAAGAAACAAGAGAAGCGATAATTGTATGCATAAATAAGTAAATGTATGATAATAAAAAAAAATACAAATGAAAAGACAACCCAGCGTTGCAGTGAGTAATCATGAACATGATGTTTGAAGGAAATTTGTGTACCCAGTGTACACCAGTACCTAATGTTATAGAACCTAATATGGATGAGTCTATCATATACGAGGTATTAAGCACGTATATAGATCAAACGCTGAATACTTATTATAAGGTTTCATACGCATGTAATCAAAATTTTACTTATACATTTATATAGAATTTATAATATTCGATTCTCAAAATGCTTTCCTTACGCATCGATGAGATGGGCTTCAGAGAGCAGGTGGCGGATTGCTTCATTGTGCTTTTGAATTAATTTTATTAGGATTATCTGTTGTATTTCTACGAAAAAAGCCTGAAGAACGAAATAATATTCAATAACGATAATTATGGGGGGAATTATGGGGTGAAGTAACATAACTTAGGTTAGGCAAACAGTATTTCCGTAAAAGTGGTTTACGCGCTAATCTTTGTTTTTCGTGATTAAATGACCAAAATATGTGTGTAGGTAGCTACTTTAGATAGTTTCTTTTTCATTTTGTTTAAATATTTATGACCTATGTGCTTATTTTCGTTCAAGCTAATCTATACCTTTTTGCTTTTGTAAAATGTCCTGAATTGCTTTGAATCTGACGAATGACGTAAATCTTTGTGATTATTGTAATCATGTTATTATTCTTTTCACTTTAACGATCGCTCTTGTGGTCAGTTATTGATTGTAAAAGAGGTCGAATTCGAATCATTAAAAAGTACTTAAACTTTTTAGGGTTTAGGTAGTTCTCTAGAACAGTTAACCTAATCTGATTTTAATTGGATTTAAAACATCATGAAAGGTTTTTACAGCTATTATCCTTTCACAATTTCAGTGTGGCTCACTATTCTTCTATTAGATTAATGTTATTTAAGTTCTCATATATATTTTCATGTCGTCTTTAGTCTATGATAATAAATCTGTTTGTGATATAATCTGTGGTAGATGACCCAATATTATTGGTTATCTAATGATTTTATTTAGATTATCTCTTTTCTATGGCTAATAAGATATTCGGAATGATTGCCAACTGAAAATTGTGATCTTAGCTCCGTTTTAAGAATGATATAAAATCTTATATACGACCTCCTTTTAGAGAAGTGTGTAATTAGAAACGAGTATAGTAATTATTGTTCTATTTTATCATTCATTCATTTCAAACATTGTGGGTCACTGACCTTTAGATAGTGAGGTAAATATCATATGTCTAGTTAAACGTCTTTAAGAACTTCAAAATGGGTTTCCTTTGTGTGAGTAAACGAGTCAAAGAGACTGTGTGAGAACGAGGATTCCTATCAATTAACTAATTCAATGTTTATGGTTTACCAAATTATAGCCCTTATTCAAATATTTTCGTACAAAGACAAGAGCTTTTTAGGATAAGTTGTTGAAATGTCCTTAGAGCCGAGAGGTCAATGATACTGAGACACCTTAACTTTAATGGATATTATAACCTATTAACCGTAATAGTGGCCAAGGGAGAATTCACAGTAGGATATTGTTATAAGCTACAATATCCTCTTTCACGTCTTTCATTTGGTACGCTGTTATAGTTTTGTTTATAAAAAAATATATAGAGTAGCTAACTATACCTAAATAAAATGTTTTTAAACATTTTAAATTAATAAAGGTATAGTTGATGCGAATTGTTGTTGACGGACTAATGTTTAACACTTAGTGGTTGTGGTGGTGGTGGTGGTTACTTAGTGGTAACTCGTGTTGATGAATTATATTAAGTAAATAACTTATGTTTTTAAAGTTTGTAAGTAAATTTGTGTAAGTGTAGATATTAAAAAACAGGTAACTTACGCCTAGCAACCTGTCTACGTCATTTGGTGGTGGTTCTAGAGAAAGTGGAACGCCAAGAAATTT